CCATTTGGAAAAGTTTAGGTGTGACACCAATAGGCGATAGGATGAGAGAGAGTAGACTTAGGTGTGTTGGCATGTGTGGTGTCGACTCAGTACAACACCTGCTAGGAGGTGCGAGTTAGTTCAAGTGGAAGGATTGAAAAGGGAAAGGGGTAGGCCCAAAAGGACGTGGTTAGAAGTAGTCCGAAAAGATATGAGGACTCATGGCCTCACTGAAGGTATGAGAGCAGAATGGCGGACCAAGTACCCCAATTAATTGGGAAAAGGCTATGATGATGATAACATGCATGTTGATACATGTCTCTATGTAGGCATGGGCGTATGCTGCATGTACATAGATTACTGGTTTTTGTGACTATGTTTGATGCTAGATGGCATCCTTTATATAATTTATTTGACTTCATGTGCTAAGCGTCTCAGCTGCACTCTATTTCTGTTGCATAATGTCTTTCAAGTCAGTAATGTGTTATCAATACTTACCCAGAAAAAAGTACGGTATTTATTAATTGTGTGTATTCTTTAACCTTTGCAGCCCCTCTGAAGCGCACCACCAGTTGGGCATTTGATGAGAAACTTCTCATTCAGTCACTTTACAAGGTGAGCTCTAGCATCCTTAAAAGTTCTGCTTTAGAATAGTTATGTTAAAGCAAGCAAATGCATGTAATGGTGTCACATAATTCATATGACTGAAATAATGAAGTTTATTGTTGAACTTGGCTTAGGAATTGTGTATCGAACTAGATTGGAGGCCTCAAGTTTTTGATCCATCGCTCACTGGTTCAAAGCCACTTGCTTCCTATGTAGTGCCTGCTCCTGTCCAAAACACCTAAATACTCACTAGCACCCAGGATACGTGGCACTGGCCCCATCCATATTGTGGCGACCTACTACCCTGACCTACTACCCGGACCACCTAGCCTTGAACTCATTCCTTACCACATGAATATTTGAGTTGGTGGGAGTTTTAAGTGTTGATGTTGTCACTATCATGTTCTGTTATTGTTAGAATTCATATCAACCATAGTCCTTAATAACTGTGGGGGGCTTCATTTACAGGTTATAGTTTATGTTTCAAGAAGCACTCCCATTGTTCTCTATATCAGGGACGTCGAGAGGCTTCTGTTTCGATCACAAAGGATCTACACCTTGTTCCAGAAAATGTTAAAGAAGCTTTCAGGACCGGTATTGATTCTTGGCTCAAGGATGCTGGATTCGGAGACTGATTACAATGAAGTGGATGAGGAGCTTTCTTTGCTATTTCCTTACAACATTGAGATTAAGCCACCAGAAGATGAGACACATCTGGTTAGCTGGAAAACCCAACTGGAAGAAGACATGAAAATGATCCAGGTTCAGGATAACAGAAACCACATCACGGAGGTACTAGCAGCGAATGATATTGACTGTGATGATTTAGGTTCTATCTGTCTCGCAGATACTATAAGTCTTAGTAGATACATTGAGGAAATTGTTGTATCGGCTGTTTCTTATCACCTGATGAATAATAAAGATCCAGAATACAGAAATGGGAGGCTAGTTATTTCATCAAAGAGGTCTGTTTGTGTGTATTGTTGCCTATACCTTATGTCGATCTCACTTAATTTTCCTGCTTTTCTCATATTATGTTTTCTTTGGAATAGTTTGTCCTGTGGATTGAGTATTTTCCAGGAGGCGAAGCTTGATGGCAAAGACACGTTGAAGCTTGAAGCAAATCCTGATGCTTCAAAGGTGTGTTAATATCACTAGGATTTGTTTAGATTAGTAATATTGGTTTATGAACACCTTGGGTCTTTATTTCCTTTTTCAGGAGCGTCAAGAGGAAGTTACCACTGCAGGTGTGAAGCCAGAGAAGTAAAGTGAGGCTTCAGAATCTAAGAACAAACCTGAGACAGGGAAATCTATTCCAGTTGAGAAGAAGGAAGGTGGGAGTATGCCGACCCCATCAAAAGCCCCAGTACGTTCCATGACCTTTATCTTTGTGTCTGTGAGTTTAGGTAGATAACTGATTGTCTCTACATTATCTGGGGATTGGCTTTTTTGTGTCTTTCATGCACCTTTCATGAAAAATTCTCCATCAGATAAGATGAGAGTAATGCTTTTACTTTGAGGCTTTTATCTACTTCCCCTGGGTAATATATCAAAAGGAAAGATTGATTTGAATATATAGCATTCCCCTGAATTTGAAAATCTTTGCGTTTGGATTTCACAGTAGGTGACTGATTTAAGTAAAGCAATTCACCAGAAGCTTTTAACTTTCTTTTTTTGGTTTTATTCCATTTATCTGTTGTTCCCATTTAATTTTATGCATTCTTCTTACCCGAGATAGTAAATTTTTCAGGTAGTCTGTGACTCATGTCATGGCTTTCAGAATGTCCTGAAAAATCAAGTTGTTTGGTGGCATTTGGTTTGTTTCAAGCTGTTAATTTAGAGTTAAGGATTTCATCCTATTTGAATCAGTTTTAAAAAGGTATGCGAGTTTTAACTTGAGTTCACAAACTCAAGTCATTTGTAGGGGTGGCCGGCTTAAATAGAACATTCCAACTTATTTTTTAGCTTTATTTGTTTTTGTTCATAAAGATTGGAAAATTCGTTGACTTTTTCATCTACTTCTGACCCTACTTGCCAACTTAAGGTGTCCTCGCGTGTGGTTGTGTCATTGAAATTCTTTCATGCATTTTTTTCCTTGATGAGTGTGTGAAAAATTGTAGTTACTACTTATTTTAGAATTAGATATTGTTCGATATGTTGCTAAATTCTTAACAAATTGAGAATATTATTCATTAATCAATGCTATTAGAACTAGACGTGGTTTTTAAAAAAATTTTTCATCGAAAAAGGAAGCAGAAAAAAAATTTAGAAATTGAAGAAACTAAACTAGAAACTATAAAATTTATGGGAGTAGAAAAAAAGAAGAAGGAATAAAGTACTTTTAACATGGTAGAGAGAGTAGATTAATCCCCCCAGTCATGCAACATAGTTTTAGACCTCTTGTTATCTGTAATGAAATGGTCCATTGACAAAGGCTTGCATGAAAGTTAAACTTAGAATTTCCCAAGCCTATCCAATAGATGGTGGGCAGATTGGCTTGAGATTCCTGAGGAAAAGGGTGCCAAATGTGGAACTAAGATGGAAAAAACAGAATTAATTGTTTCAACATGAACAAGGTGAACTGCAACCCTTGTGTTTTGGCTAGTTTTTGACCTTTTTCTCCGTATCTTGTACTGGATTGGTTTTTGCTCTTATTTCTCTAAAACCCATTCATATTGGAATTTGATAAGAGTTGGGGTTAACGATCCGTTGACAAAAGGTTTTGACTTCAGGAGCCTGGGAAGCCAAAGCAATTGTTGGGCTCTTTCTTGACGATATTGTGCTTAAAATGGATCTGGAGATTCTATACATTCAGCTTTACTATCGCAAGTATTTAAAGAAAGCTTTTTAATTAGCTCTTTACGTTATTCACTTCTTTTCTGTTCATTCTTTTGAACTAGCTTAAAATCCCTTGAGTGCCAGATTCATTTCTAAATTGGATTCATATGGATAATGTCTGATGATGTGTGGTTTTCCTTACAGGAGATTGCTCCAGATACTGAGTTTGAGAAACGTATAAGGCCTGAAGTCATACCTGCAAGCGAAATCGGAGTATCATTTGCTGACATAGGAGCCTTGGGCGAAATCAAAGAGTCCCTGCAAGAGTTGGTCATGCTTCCCCTTCGAAGGCCGGACCTCTTTAAAGGTGGGCTCTTAAAGCCCTGTAGAGGCATACTATTGTTTGGGCCACCTGGGACTGGTAAAACTATGCTCGCCAAAGCCATTGCCAATGAAGCTGGAGCCAGCTTCATCAATGTCTCCATGTCCACAATTACTTCGAAATGGTTTGGTGAAGATGAGAAAAATGTTAGGGCCTTGTTCACACTGGCTGGAAAGGTCTCTCTAACAATCATATTCGTAGATGAGGTTGACAGTATGCTTGGCCAGCGGTCACGAGCTGGAGAGCATGAGGCCATGAGGAAGATTAAGAATGAGTTCATGACACATTGGGATGGGCTCTTGACAAAGCCTGGTGAACGGATTCTTGTTTTGGCTGCTACTAATAGGCCGTTTGACCTTGATGAAGCTATTATCAGAAGATTTGAACGCAGGTATATGAGTGGAAGTACAAGTTGAACTACTTCCATTAGCTGCACCATTAACAGCATGTTAGTACCAAATTAGAAACAGCATAGGATAAGTAAACATGAACTTTGATGCATCCATTCACTAGCATACACTAGGCTAATGCACATTCTATGCAAGAACCTTATATGGTTAGTTTTATCCCTGTGGTGTCAATAACATTATCCATTGTTGCAAGTTCAATCATTGGAGGTCATTGTCAGTATATGATGTCATTTATGATGCTTCTAGGACTGGACTAGCTAATGAGATGTGATTTACAAATAATGTGGAAACAAAATAAAGAAAATTAAACGAAAAAGGAAAATAAGAGGAATAACTTTAGAGGATTTTATTGTATGGTCGAGATTGTCTTTGCATCTGGTAATCTATGAAAAGGAGGGGTTTCTGGACATTGAAGAAAACCTAGCGTGTATACCCATGATTGAAACCAAATATTAGAGGAGTTGTTGAATATTAATATAGATTTTTATTGTTAAATGAAACTAAATATTGTTACTTGAACGAATTCAAATTCCCATTTTGAATCAGGCAAAAGAGAACCACCTGACCAGTACTTAAATTGCCATATTCACTTGACCATCTCTCTAGGTATGCCATTACATTGGTATAGGAGATGTTCATACCAGGAGATGTTAGTCATCATAAATTGTGCTAGACATATACAGGAAAAGAAAAACTTTAAACACTTTGCATGTATACTGGCCCTTAAAATTTCGATGACATTCTTTTAGGTTAATATGCTCTTATTTATTCTACCTAATATTGCTGATTTGTTTTACTGGTGTGTAGAATGCATATAATTATGTAGATGCATTCTGTGCTCACTACAGCCTATCTTGTAACTGATTTGGGAAATTATAACTGTGATATACAGAATTATGGTTGGCCTGCCTTCTGCAGAGAACAGAGAACTAATCTTGAGAACTCTTTTGTCGAGAGAGAAGGTTGAAGAAGGACTAGACTACAAAGAGCTAGCCTCCATGACTGAAGGATACAGTGGAAGCGATTTAAAGGTATGTTCATTTTCCTTATATTTATTAATTTTATCATGAGTTACTCGTAGTAAAAATCTCTGGTCAATTGGTGCATAATAGAATCTGTGTACAATCGCGTCCTATCGTCCTGTTAGAGAACTGCTACAAAGAGAGAGGGAAAAGGAAAAGGACAAGGTATTTTTTTTTTCTTTGATCTCTCCCACGTTGCACTTGTGTTTTTATCTTGGAATTTATCGTAAAAGTTTTGTGAATATGTTGGAGAAGAAGAACAAAATCAAGGAAGGAGAAAAGAGCCCGCTGAAGTATTCAAAGATTGTGGAAGGGCACAGGAATGGGGAACCAGAAATTACACTTCGCCCATTAAACATGGAGGACATGAGGCAGGCCAAGAACCAGGTGCGTAGAACTTAAAATAAAACCCTATTTGACTGGTGCCTATGCATTTCTACTTGTACTTGTTAACTTGCAGGCACATGCATGCATAGATGGACGAACGCATGCCTTCTGGGGAAAAATTTCTTCAGGAACCTGGACTAAATTTCTTGAGAGTGGTGGTGATCCAAGAAACTAGGGCGTGGTCCAAAGAATTCCATGTAGTGAATGTGGGATTTAGGCTTGAAACAAGTTTTCGACTGCCTTTATTATTTCCTTTTGCAATAAATTTCGGCATTGGATCCCATGATATCGTCTTCAAATGAAATGAGAGATTGACATTTCCACACAAAGGATATGGGGTCAAGTTTGATGATATGGAGAAGGATAGAGGAAGGGGAAGAAGATCCAACCATGATGGAACTCGATAAGGTAATTCGAGGATTTTTCCTGGTGACAAGAAGGAATTAGGGTTAATTAAAGAAGAGATCTGTTGTAGGATTTGAATAAGAAAGAAGGTTGAGGAGATATAGGGAATGAAAGGAGAGAGAGTCATCACCTTTCAAACTCAAGGCTGAAATATCATCCCCATTTGCAGAAACAGAGGGTAGGCTCTTTCTCTGCAAGGAGGTTTCAATATTGAATCTCAAGGCCGAAACACATGGTTCCCATATACGGAGACAAAGGGTAGTCATTTTCTCTACAAGAAGGGTAACATGGTGGAAGGACTTGCAAATGAGAGATTTTGTGCTAAAAAGGTATTTTTAGGTTTCTGATTTCTGAAATTTGAGGAAGAAAAATATTATTTTCCCCTTTTTAGAGAAAGGAAAGAGATTAAATAGCGAGTAGGGATTTTTTTATAGAGAAAGAAAAGAGATTGAATAGAACAAGTAATGTTTGAGAAGAGAGAGGGAAAAGTCAATTAAGAGAGAACAGACGTTAAGTGTGCTATGAGAGATGAAACTGGGGTTTGTAAAATGGGAGATTTGATTTGAGATCTGAAAATCTGACTTGAATAAAAAAGGAGGACAAATAGGGAGGGAGGTTATGGTTTGAAGAAAAAGGGACAAGCCTAGGGTTAGAAAAGAAAAAATTAGGAGGCAAAATATTCCCTTGGGCTGGAAGAGAAGAAGAAGAATGTAGAGACTAGTGTTTGTGGAGAAAGAGTTTAGAAGAAGACTGCCAGGATTAGAGATGTGTTGATCTTGAGATGTGGATCCTCTTTCTCTAATACCATGTGAAACTTCATCAAGGAGAGAAGAAGTGAAGGAGGACAAGATGAAGAGTGGCATGGAAGGTAAGATGGCTTGGTCGTTCCACTGAATTGTTGTGGGAACCCATATTCATTCATATATGTGAGTGCTAGGGTTAAGAGCAATCTACTCTAATACCCTTATCGGCACCCTTATGTACATGAGAAATTACTATGAGAAAATAATACATAAATATTAGCATAAGAATAATGAATAATACATATAACAACAAAGCTTCTAATAGTGCTATATACTCAACGACAAGGCTTAGATTGTGATAAAACATTTAACCGGAAATCATAATACAAACCATTTTGAATAGTTCTCTCCTTCCCTAACTTATGGGTGGGACTTTAGCAGCTCGATGCTAAAAATTCGTTTCTGCATGGTGATATGAATGAAGAGGTTTATATGGATTAGCCACTTGGATACAACGCATGCGGCCTCAAACTCTTAAGTGTGCTGACTCACAAAGGTGATATATGGACAAGCAAGTGTCCTGAGCATGATTTGAGAGTTTCTAGCCCACTCTGGTGGATTACTCATTGTTCACCTATATTGGCCCACATGGAATTACGATCTTATTGTTTTATGTCGATGATATCCTTATCACCAGAAGTTTACTATAGGAAGTTTATGTGACCATATCCATACCATTAAGAACCTCTTGAATGCAAAGTTTAGATGACAATTTTGGTTCTTTGAAGTATTTTCTCGGTATTGAAGTGGACAAAACTGCTAATACACTCATTCTCTTCCAGATAATTACGCCTTAGACCATAGTTATTAGGGTCTTTTAAGGAGGGTTTGCTCCCACTCCCGGATCTTGTTCCAGCGTTTTGCAACGCGCAATCTCAATTCCGGGCGATTCCTTGATACTAAGGATCACAATCAGGTAAAGCAGAGATCTTAATCCTATGTTAACCGGACATATAATTTTGGACCTATAATTTAATGCAACCTAGATATCTTGAGCAATAGAGAGATCCATGACTCTTTAAGTACATTTGGAGATATCGGACCAAAGAACTAATCATATTTTGTTCTTGCGCCGTCCATGTTTTTCATGTTCCAGATTAAGTTGAGGTGCTTCTTTGGTTTGGTGAATTGTCAATTTTTTAGTTTTGTGATACAATGTGACGGCAACGCCTACACCCATCAAGAAATCCACCCATATATTCTTTGCGCATAATTCATAGAAATCAATTTTTTCCTTATAAGATTAGTTTAAGCAGTCCAATTTAATGGCTAGAAGAGCAGCCACATTTGAGGATGCCATTAGAGATAAAGATTCTAGATTTTTGTAAGCAATGATGATATGATTGCTTTATGTATGTAAAGAAAGAAGAGATATTTAAAAAAAGATATGAAATGGGCTGACAGGTTTCAAGTCTTCAAATAGGCAGGGAAGATTGCCACACCTTTTTCGAGCCCATCTAATGTTTTCTTTATTGTGCTGAAATATCTTGCATCAAGATTGTATCAACACTAGCGAATCTTCATTTGGAGCTTTGACTTTTGGAGATGCTTTTCTAAGAAACATTTGTGGCCTTCACGTCTTACTTTTTAGAGAGTGCAGATCTTGTTAAGAGTCTTGCTTGAAGTGTTATAGCGAGGATACATTAATTTTATTGCTAGAGGGTTGAAGAGTTTGGCTGCTGCTTTTTATGGTTTTGCTTTGCCTGTGCTCTGGTACCATGACAAGGTTGGGAAAGAATGCGAAAACATTTGTGTATTTTCATTTCATTACATTGAGGATAAGTAAAGGAGCTCTGTTATGGGTAATGTACAATATTACCCTTGAAAAAATAATGTAACTCCTAACAATAGTGTGTATAGAACAAATGTTAAAAGTATGTTCCCATTCTTCTGGTTGAAATTATTTGAATGATATTTGTCATTTGCCTTACATAATTATGATTAAATAGATAATAGTCTTATACTTAGCCCGGGTAAAGGAGGAGGGTTGTGTTAGATAGGACAGCCATCATAAAACTTTACCAAATCTTGTCATGAATCCTGAACCTATAAGCAGAATGGCGGAATGGGATTTATGTAGCCAAACTCAAATAGTTGGGATAAGGTTTACATGATGATGATCTTAGACTTGCGAAAAGGAATAGAGAAATATTGGGATGCTAGTCTGAGACTGCTTAGGCAAGATTTCCTTTGATATTTTGTAATATATCTGGAAAATTCAGATGATAGACATTTCAAATATTTGTCACATTTAGATGGAAATTAACGTGTGATACACAAACGCAAAATATTCTTGAGCATTGCGAATAAATGATTTCATGGAACTTGATTTTTGTGCTATCGAATCAGCTATGAATGTGATAAAACAGAATTTGAAAACTATCTATATGGAGTGACTGATGAACATATGAAAGTTTGACCCATCAGGCGGTTGCAGCAAGCCGAGGAAAATCATATAACTTGATTGCTTTTTTTATCAATAGCAAGGAATTGCAATATAGGATCCTGAAGACGTAACTATGTCATGAAATATGAATTAGGAAAAACTGTTATTTGGAAAATTTTAAACTCTGAGACTTTCATCCAACCAAACTTTTATTACTGGAAAACTAAGAAAAATACCCAAAAATGGGGTCAATAGGTCATTAGGCAGATCAATGAATTATCTCTTCATTGATGCAAATGACTAGGAACTTATTTAGAACTAGTCAAGATATTAATGACAAACATACCTAGTCTCGATGAGATACTGCATCTAATTTGTGTTCTGCAAGGTTGATTCATGGAAAATGACAATGCTTGCTGCTGGAAATAGCTGAGCCGGAATGGGTTGTCATACTCAAATCCATGCAAAATGGTCCTAATTTACTGCATGAAGCAACCTTGAACAGCTCCTTGATGCATTTTCCCCCGAGTCCCTGCTGGACTTGTAGGAACAATGTAGTTTGTTTGAAAAGGATGCCCTGAAAAATTGATATTTCTCAGTACTTGGGTTAATTACATAATTATGTAGGAGTACTAGTAACGAAAGGAAGAGTACATGCCTTTGTGTCAAGGACATAAACCATTGAGATAGCATCAGCATGTGACGATATGATACGAGCTGCAATGTCAAAACATGGCATTGGGTGATATTCCCAGTGCTGTTATCAACTTTTAGTGAAGTAAGCTTTGCTTTATTTACTTTTTGTCCATATTTGGTTGCATTTAGAATCACTTTGTTTCTGCTGATTAGTTTTTTGGATTTTATAATTTGAATGCATTTTGCCGAGTCCCTGTTGGACTTGTAGGAACAATGTAGTTTGTTTGAAAAGGATACCATGAAAAATTGATATTTATCAGTAATTACATAATTATGTAGGAGTACTAGTAACGAAAGGAAGAGTACATGCCTTGTGTCAAGGGCATAAACCATTGAGATAGCATGAGCATGTGACGATATGATATGAGCTGCAATGTCAAAACATGGCATTGGGTGATATTCCCAGTGCTGTTATCAACTTTTAGTGAAGTAAGCATTGTTTTATTTACTTTTTGTCCATATTTGGTTGCATTTAGAATCACTTTGTTTCTGCTGATTAGTTTTTTGGTTTTTATAATTTGAAGGCTCTCTAAGGTTTTTTAAGTCTTGTTTACTTTGGATTTTGGAACAGTTCCTATGGATTGCCAAAACTTTTTCAAGAATATAAAATGCATTTTTTTTACATTATTAGAAAAATAGAAACAAGGAGTGAACAAAAACATGGAAACTTGTGAAAATCATTGACTTGTTCAAACATATCAACATATGATTTGCTCAATTGTATCATGTTTTCAGCATTAAATTTCTGTCAGTTATTGGGACCATCAGGGATAGCAGTCAACTTACGCTTGTCTGTCCCAATGCTGAGTTGAGACTGATTTTAAGTTTTTCATTAGGTTATGGATGATGCCCTGTGCTTTCTTCTACTAACTCAGTCATCAAGAAACGGAACCATGTTGTTTACTCAGTGATCCTAATCATATTTGCAAGTTTGATCTATTTATACCATTCAAACATGCGGAATGCATGTTGCAGTGAGCTTTGCAGCTGAGGGATCGGTAATGACTGAGCTACAACAATGGAATGAATTGTATGGTGAGGGAGGCTCAAGGAAGAAGCAGCAGTTGTCCTACTTCCTTTAATGAGGAGTGAATTCCAAATCAAAGTGAGGAAATGGACAACTCCATTCGGGTAATGGCCAATCCTCCTCTCTTCTCTTTTCTTGGCTTGGAAAATAATGGAGACGACTTTGCAGGATTCAGTGCTTTTGAAAGACCCCTCTAAACCTTGATTATATGAAGACTAAGCAAAACAAGAAGTCCAGCTTCCAGATTTATTGGCACGTTGGAGTGTAATTTTAAATTTCACCTTATCATCAGTTTATCAGTTTCTTTCGAACCAGTTTCTTCGGTGTTTCCACGTGTGTGGCTTCCTCTATGATAGCTTAGGTGGTTGTATTGGAGAGGAGAATTATGTTATATGGCTGCTACTTGCGAAATGTAACAATAATACTTTTGTATGGTGTTTGAGAAAATAGATGCGGATTACTATTTCTGTGACTAAGCTAGGTTTACTAGTAATTCATTTGGTTTGTTTATTGTACAATAATAATGTCTCTCTCTCTCTTTAAGACACACTCATGCATCTTTATTTTGAGCATTTGATTTTTACTTATTGCGTGCAGGATGTTATTTACGTGTGCATTTAAACATCATTATTTTATGCCCGCGTCCTCCGGGCTTCATGCACTTGATACACTACTTCCACCCATGTGCTTTTATGCTTTGGTTGGGAATCTTGGGAACAGTTGCGCAATGCCTGCTGATGTAGCGCATGATTAAAAACAAGCTCAAGACAAGAAGCAAAGGTTATGCAAAGTCCTCAGAAATGCCTATTTATAGCCCTTTAGGCCGCCTTGACCAAAAATCTCGGAAATCCTGGAAGGAAGATGAGGGGTCCATAAGCAGATACATATTCCTTGTAGTAAGAGATGTGCCCTTGAGTTTTTGATGGACACATCAGAAGCAAAAGTTATGCACGGACTAGAAAACTATGTGGAATGACCTCTCATAATCCATATTTTGCCAAATGTTACTACCATGTCATGTTTTTTGGTGTTTTTGTATTCCAGTTTGCCACCGGTTTGAGATTGCAAATTAAACTGCTTTTCTCCTCTTTGTGAGTTCTAGGGTTGTGCAACAAAGCCCAAAAATCAAACCGCCCATTTCTGAGACGGTTTGATGTCAGGACCGTGGAATTACCTCAATAAACAGCCCCTTTCTTAGAAAAAATTTGTGGTTTGATATCGACAATATCGAACAGCTCAATAAGCCTTTTTTAAATGCATTTTGATTTTTTCAAAATCACATCACCCAGGGAAATTACCGATTTAAAAACCCAGTCCGTTACTCTCTCCTCTCATGCACTTCTGTGATGTCATATCTCCACAGGGTTGCACCTTATTCGCATTTTGTTTTTTCGCTGGACATTGGACCTTATTGTCAAGTGCTAACTTGCTTTTATCTAACATTAGTTGTTTTTGTCATTCTCTCCGGGTACTTGTTCTCTCCGGGTACTTGTCAATCTGTGCAATTTTTAATTATTTGTAATTTTTATCCCATAGTGGTAGTGCATTGTTAAACTTTGTGTTTTTTTTTACCTGAAGTGCTCTTTCTATACTTATATTTCCCCTTGTCTGATTACATGTCTGATCTAAATGGATGGTTGAGATGGACATAATCACAATGTCATGTCTATATACTATTTTATTTTTAAATTTTTTTTACAAAATATTTTGGTACCAAATTGTGGGCACCCACTCTTCTCAAACTTGCACTTGCAAAAAATATTAAAAGAATATTTTTAATGAAATAAAATAATCAAAATATCTTTAAAATTTTTAGGGGTATTTTGATTTATTTTATTTTATCAAATGTTTTTTTAGGTGCGTTTCATTGAATGATGGCACGTATCAAATTTCATATTCAAAAGATTTATAAAAAGAATATTAAATACCTAAAAAGCTTTCCCTCAAGCAGCAAATTTGTAAATTTCCAAAGTAATGAGTAGCTTCTTTTTCTCCCCCTACCATTCTTTTAAGCAAAATAGATCAACCAACCATAAGGTTTCACGAGATCTTAACTGGGAATTCTAAAATATGATCAGGATATACGTTGTCAACTTTCAATCTCTCCAATTTCGAGTAAAGTTTTGTGTTTGGCCTCTAATTTTGAATGATCTATAACATGGTTAAATTTTGACCACTAATTTTGAATAACTATTTGCAAAAACATTTGCGAAAGTTTTTGCAACCTTAGTTAATCAGTCCTCGGGCTTGAGGAGTAACAGTCATGCCGCATGGGTAACAACTATAACAATGCAAGGTGTATACTTCGCCAAATATTCGATTGAAGACTCGAGGTGCTTCAGTATGACATAATTTGCCTCTTCACGACTATACACTGGCTGTGTATGGTACCCTCTTAATGGCAGGCCCAATCGTAGCTCATTATATGTATTGCAAAGCCCTTCAAGTCACGATTGAAACGATTAATCAACATCGCAAAGTCGATGAGGCACATGTTTCTAATGTAGGTCGGGGTAAGCTGGGATATTCAATTTTTAATAAACATTTGCCAGATTCTTTGATCACTCAGTTTGCTAGTTTTCACTTAGTTTGCTAGTTTCATGAATGATTTGAACAGAGTTTATATATCTCAGAACAATGAAGATGTGGTGGTCTGGGAGCTCACAAATGATGGGGTTTTTTTGGTTAAATCTATATATCAGTTACTCTTTGATGATAGGTTAAGATGGGAACAACTTAACTTGAAACATATTTAGAGATGGCGCATTCCTCACAAAGTGCAATTCTTCCTTTGGACTTTATCTTAGGATAAAGTGTTGACTGTGGACAATTTGAGAAGAAGGGGCAAACTTATTGTCAATGTTTGTAGATTGTGCAAAGAAGATGAGGAGATGGGGAATCATCTTTTCTTTCATTGTCTATTCACTTATGGGATTTGGATGTGGGCACTACAAGTTGTGGGTTGTTCTCTACCTTTTCTTTGAGACATATACGTATTATCGATCAGCTTGCTATTCCTTCTTTGCCAAAAAAGGGATTAATTCTATGGTAGATGTTCAAGACAACGGTTCTCTGGGAGGTATAGTTGAAAAGAAATAGGCCCCCCTTTGAAGGTGTAAGTGCAGATCTTATTCGAATTAAGGACAAAATTATGCATAGTGTTTGGTTTTGGTTCTCTAATTCTAAAGACGGTTTTGGGGTATCGAAGATAAAAGTAATTCTTAATTTGAGTGATTTGATCCAACAAGTTGTGGAGAGGCCCCGACCAATTGGAAGATGGATACTCTTTGTTAATGGTGGTGTTAAACTAAACTTTGATGACAACCCTGTTAACGATCTAGGACCAGCTGGTTTTGGAGGAGTTGTGAGGGACTCAATGGGTGTAGAGATGTTCTTTTATTATGGACCATGTGGAATAACTATTGCAAATTATTATGAGTTCTTAGCAATATTGCTTAGTCTAAAGATTTTGAAGAATCGATGTGTTAATTTGGGTTGGATGGTAAAGGGTGATTTGTTAAACGTGATCAATCGGTGTTCCGTGAAAGGAAGGCCCCCATGGAGCTTAAGAAAGTGTTGTACGATAGTAGTGGATATTTGTCAAAATCATGTGGTTTCTTTCAACCATGTCTACATGGAGGCGAATGTCAGCGTAGATTCATTGGCTAAAGATGGAATTCAAGCCGTTCTTTTTGTTATTTCTCCCATGACCTTGTAATTATGTTACTTGCATTCGTGATTAATAAAACTTCGTACTCTTGTCAAAAAAGAAAAGAAACAGGGCTATGCAATTTTGTGTATTTCCTATCATAAAAGGAACCCAATTAAGTCATTAATATATCACATATTTCAGATATCGGTAAATAACTAGCATTAATATTACATGTATGGCTTGTCAATTTTTCATATTATAGCCGTCATCGCTTCATAGGATAGGGTTTCCGAAATTAACAACATGAAGAGGGCTTATATTTAGGTCGTGGAGAGAAGTTCATGGGTTTGGATCATTTCCAATTCGAAAAGACCAAAGAAAATCTGTATTCTCTCGTACTCTTATACTCTCATTGATATCATATAAGTATTACCCATAAAGAAAGAAATCGCTCATGCTTAGTTAACTTTCTCAACCCCATTCCATGTACATGTCTTAAGAGCACATTACTAGTTAAGCCTTTAGTTTAGGGGTCTGCACGCATAGCTTTTGTAGGCATATAAGCCACATCCACCTCACATTTCTCAATCTCTTCCCTTATATAATAAAATTAAGCTCTTGTATGTCTTGATTGGCTATGGAGCCTCGGTTCTTTTGTCACTGCTATGGCAGCTTGATTATCACACATGATCCTTATGATTCCATGTCTTAGTGGATTATAGTGAAGTTGAGTGAGAAACTTCTTTTTCCATATGGGTTCCTTTGATGCAGAACATTGAGCCATATACTCACCTTCTATAATAGATAAGCCACATCCACCTCACCTTTCTCAATCTCTTCCCTTAAATGATAAAATTAAGCTCTTGTATGTCTTGACCGGCTATGAAGCCTCGGTTCTTTTGTCAATGCTATGTCGGCTTGATTATCACACGTGATCCTTATGATTCCATGTCTTAGTCGATTATAGTGAAGTTGAGTGAGAAACTTCTTTATCCATATGGTTTCTTTTGATGCAGAACATCAAGCCATATACTCACCTTCTACAGTAGATAAGGCTATTAGGTTTTGCTTCTCAATACGCTAAGCTATGACACCACCTCTATCCATGAATATATATAAACAAAAGTTGATTTCAAATCATCCAGATCTCCTTAAAAGTCGGAGTCTGAGTAACCTGAGACTCTTAAATCATGCACATCCCCATAGGTTAATGCATAACAAATTGTTCCCTTTAAGTATCTCATGATTCTCTTAACTGCTTTCCCATGTTCTAATCAGGGATTACTTCGGAAGTGCGCCATCAAGCTTTAGGCAAAAGCTAGATAGGGTCTTCTATCCATATAACATGCATTATGGACCCACAACGATTTTTTTCCATTTGTTTCGTTTCATAATCATTTATTGGCCTCATGTTAACACTTAACTTCACTCTTTTCTCAATAGGTACATCTAGTGGTTTAAAAAGCGGATCGGTGACCTGGATTGTGCATCTCAAAAACCCATATGGATCGGCGAATCGATGATCCGAATCGGGAATCGGCTGAATAGGTCGGATTAAACCTTAAAAAAAATCCGAAAAAATTATTAAAATTCATTATAAATGTTTTTTTTTAGGAATTCAATAAGAAATGAGGGTACTCCATTAAGAATTTTCATTTCTTTGCATGAATATGCGAATATTGATATGGTCGTTCCCTGCATGAACTACCATTTACCATTTAATTTACATCACACAAAAGGATAAACATAGAATTGTCATGGATTAAGTATATCATCATACATGGACTGCAACAAAGCATATAATTTGTAACATAG